CTAGAATTAGGATTTTATCATAACTCTAGCTTTTGGAAAGCATCAATCTAATCTTTTGCTCACCTCAAGCATAGAAACCTCCTCTTTCCCATAAACTCAAGTTAACATACAATAATTTATCAGATGTATCTAATTTAAAATTTAGAAAAATAATATTTTGTGCTAAAGCTAAAATCTTTACATTAAAATCTCCCTAAGCTCAAAAGGAAATCAACACTCTTAATCCGTCACTCCTTGGGTTTAGCGACGGAAGGCGAGTCCAATAAAGAACGATAATACCACTAGGAAGATGGCACTGAAGGTCTTTATTGATGGAGAAGTAGCCACGGACGAAGAAGTGGTGGATCTTCTGATGAGAAGCCAAGGCGTCTTGTGTTTTTGGAGGTCGATTGTTTTTGCTAAGCAGTAGAGGATGCGCTTGACGTATCTTTCCACAGTTTCGTCGTACTCCCAATCAGGATCGTAGAAGGGGGAGAGAAGGATGTCGATCTCCCCACGGTCGTTGTAAGAAAAAGCCGTGATCAACTTCGGGATCGGCCATGCATCATAAGCATGAGAAGGGGAGAACACAAGAAAGAAGAAGAACGAGAGAGACGGCGGTGGGGAGGGAGGCGGACAGCTGATGTAGATAAAGGGGTGGTCAACTCATGTCCAAAATAAATCAATTTTGGCTTCCCTCGAGTTTACAAGCTCAATCAAAATTGAGCTGAAATTTTAGCTCATTTATGAGCTGGTCTTTAGTTCACTTATTGAACTAAGGGTTAGCTCATTATTAGCTAACATTTTAGTTCATAGTTATCTTTTAATTAAATGTAATTTTTATGTCTTAATTAAAGTTTGTCTCTTGGAATTCCAAAATGGCCTTTGGAATTCCAAAATGGCCTTTGGAATTCCAAGATGATTTGTTTTCCCATGCCTTGGCTCTTTGGCTTACACAGTGGGCTGCTGTTTTCCGTACATGGCTCCTTGGACTCCTTGGTGGCTGTTGGTTTTCAGAGCTGGAGGTTCTTCCCGTGGCTTTTGGCGCCTCCGTTCTGGCGGGCCTCTTGGGATCCCGTGGCTGCTCCCTCGGTTCCCTGGCTGGGCTGTTTTTCCGTGAAGTTGGGGGGGGGATTTCCGTGGTTGTGATGTTTAGGTTATTGTGGAAATTTATTTATGTGTCTATTTGTATTCCCTTCTCATACCTATATATATATATATGAGATGTTTAAGAGTTGTAATGATATGTTATGCGAATGATTTTTTGAAATGTAAACCTGCGGGTTTCGTTGGAAAAGCTTGCGAGCTTTGTCCACTTCTTCTCATCTCCTCTGGAAATCTTGCGAGCTCTTTCCACCCTTCGTCTTGGCTTCTAACCTCTTTCGTCTCTCCGCAAGTTTACACCCCACCTGTATCATTCTTCTCAAAGTAAGCAATTTTAGGATGTCATGTTTGAGTCGTTTGTATGAGTCAAAGTTTGTAAGTCATTTTATTTTATAAAGTGAAGTTATTTGTGACATATTTGTGTTCTTTAGTGTCTTTTCTATTAGCTAGTAAAGTTTCGTATTAAAAAATTTGGGTCCCTTCCTAAATTTTTGGTTACATCAAGGGTTGGAGAGGGGCTAGGGTTTGAAAGAACTTAGGTTATGTAAGGTGGAGGTGTTCTAATCTCAAAATATGAAAATAATTTCAGGTTTTGAGTAAAATTGGAGGGAATTAATTTGAAATTTGGATTTCAAATTAATTGCAATTAAGGGCCTTGAATGAGCATTAATGGGGGGGGGCAAGGCATGAGGCGCAGCATGGAGACGAGAGGGATGAGGTTTTATGTCAAATCTGAAATTAATTTCAGGATTTGAGTGAATTTGGAGGGAAACTAATTTGAAATTTGATTTTAAATTAATTTGTAATTAATGCATTGCTTGGGATTTAATGGGGGGGGGGAAGCCATACATGTGACCGGCGGCATGTAGGTGGGAGAGGGAGAGAGGTGAGGATTTAAAAGCTTCTTTATTTAGCTTTAAAAAAAAGAAAAGGAAAATTAAATCCGATTCAATTTAAAATTAAATTGAATGAGATTTAAAACTTTCCAAATATGGCTTTGACAAATTAGGAAAGAATTTGAAATTTCAAAATTTGAATTTCAAATTGAGGAGTTCTCTTCCTAAATCAACGGTGGTTATTTAGGTAGGTGATGATGATGACATTAACCATCATTAATGGTGGATGGCCACTAGGGCCGGCGGCATGGTGGTGGGGTTTGGGAGAATTCGGTTGGGGAAGGATGAGGTGAAACCGGTGGTGGAGCTTGAGGAGGGATTGGATGGTGGAGGTTAAGCACTTGGTGGTGGAGGAGTAGGAAGGAGTGATTGATGGAGTGGGGAAAGGAGATGAAGGAGAATACAAAGAAGATGAAGTTAAACTAACCACGAGTCGTGGACTCTTCCAACGACTGGTGGGCCTTGCACTTGCTCCCCTTGAGCTCACTCTCCGTTCTCTCTAGCTCTCATGCGAGAAAAGAAGTAGAAGCAAATAAAATTTCTTTGATCATTCATTAAAAAAAAATACAACATATGAGACCACTATATATAGGTCCCTACTCATGAAAAGAACAACTACAAGATTGCCCTCTGGGCTACAATAACAAAACAACTCCCCAAAGGGTAAAAACGGAAGACGACAAATAACTAAATAACATATCATGAAAACTGAATCAAAAGTAGAGGCGCTGAATCGTGGCCGTAGATTTGCGATTCTTTCGTCGATACATATGTCGGTAGCGTCTGTCGATGTCCTCATCAACCCCTCTCCCAATTCATGATAATTCCATTTTTATTTCCACTAGAATTAGGATTTTATCATAAATCTAGCTTTTGGAAAGCCTCAATCAAATCTTTTGCTCACCTCAAGCATACAAACCTCCTCTTTCCTTTAAACTCAAGTTAACATACAACAATTTATCGGATGTATTTAATTTAAAATTTATAAAAACAATATTTTGTGCTGAAGCTAAAATCTTTGCTTTAAAACCTCACTAAGCTCAAAAGGAAATCAACACTCTTAAAGGTCTTCATAGTTTTGAAAAAAAACCTAAACTTGGAACATGAAAAATGTTTAATTTCTAAAAAAAAATTATCTTCACAAATAAGCTTCATAACATAATTTAGAAACTTTCCTACAAAGACATTTTGAAAGAAAATGAAAATCGGAGAAAACTCTAAATTTTAAAATCCATATTTTTCAAGGAATCAACTCATTTTTGTGTTTAGAAACATCCCCCTAACCTTCCCTTAATTTATCTTAAAGAAAACATGAATTTCCACAAAACTCTAGATTTCTTTCTTGAGAAAATCTTAAGGAAAATCATGAGAAAAGGGTTTATGAGAGCTCACCTTACTCATCCCTACAAGTTTCCTTCAATCTCCCTCGCAAATCAACGCCGGAAACCACCCCTAGGACCCCCCGTCGCTGCTCCTACCTGACGCCCCTTCTCCCTTTTTCGCTCGGTTCGGGATGCACGAATAGAATGGGGACCGAAACATTTCGGTCTCTTAATAAGAGTGGAAGGCTCTCTCTTAATTGCCTAAATTCCTAAAAGCCCTTACTTAAAATCATCTATACTCAAATGTCATAAGGGCAAAGTTGTCATATTTAGACTTTCGGAAATTAACTCCCAAAATAAGCAAAATCTAGTATGGGTTTTTTATATCGATTCGCTCAGAATTTTGCGTACTATTTTATAAAATTTATTGCTCGAAATGACTTTGAAAATTCACTTAAAACTCATCGCGATGCATCGGAAAGCGTGCGAGGTCTAAAATGGGATTTTTCGGGTTTTACAGGTCAAGGCCAAAGTATGGATGTTCCACAATTGCTCAATCTCTCGATTTGTAATTCAAAGGATGCATTTGATAGGACATAAAGTACTATATTAGTTAATGTTGACTTCAAATTTTCCACTTAGAAAAACATCCATCCTAGACGCCCTTAGATGATGCAGCCCATGATCAACAAAAAGGATCCTTCGATCAAGTTGAGTCTACTACTTTCACTATCTAAGTAGATCAAGGTCCATGATAGTTTGAAATGATGAAGCCATGAGATATTGATCGGGTTTGTCATCATTGCCTCATCATCTACTTCAAGCTTAAGTTTGTTAATTTCATATCTAAAATCAAAATTATTGCTACTATAAACTAAGCACTTATTACATATCGATTAGCCTTAATAAAAAAATTTTCTAATGTCTCTAGGAGAGATATTTAACTATAGAGGTTTACGCCTATCGGAAACTAGGAACTAGTATGCAAACTCCTTGTAAAATGTTAGTGAAATCTCTGGATGTTGTTTTATTTGCAATCTAATATGCTTTCAACATTTCATCCATAACCAAAACTCTTTTAGAAGAGCCGGATGCAAAATTTGGAGCCCACAAAGAATTATTTTTTAAGGAAATTCATTGTTGGAATTCTACTTTTGTTTCATTTGCTTAAATGGCCCAAAGTTAGGCATTCCATTAGTTGATTGATCTATTAAAATCAACAATTCTATAATTAAGAATTGTTCTCTTAGGAAATTTTTTGACGCAATACTTCTTTGTTTCATTTGTTTACATGGCACAAAGATTAGCATAGCATTCCTTTTTATTTTGGCACAAGAATAGCATATCATTCGTAAGCACAATTCTGCTTTTGTTTCATTTTCTTACATGGCACAAAGAACATCATACAGTTTTTTTTTTAATTTAATTTTTTTATTTTTGCACGAATGACATTCTGGTTATTGGTTAATCTTTTAACATGGAATATTCTTGTCACTGAAAAGCAAAATCCATACGAATGGCGAAGTCATCCATTCCGTTGTACATAGCCTATTAAAGATGGATCACAGTCAATTTTTTTCATGCTGGTTATTTTGTCTCCAATCTGAAAGCAAATCATATGTTTGGTTTTTTTCCTTTTCTGGCTTAAATTTCCTGAAATTTGATTTCTTTTCTGATTTTTGAAAATTTCACAGCAAAGTTTTTATAATGTTACATTTGATATCAATTCAAAACTTTAGGTTTTCGAATTTGGACGTGCCAACTGTTCCTGAATTTCTTAAGGTTAGTAAATTAAGGTTTTTGTAAAATTTGCTAACTTATGTACCATTTACAATGTTACCAAGCGTGTCAAATGTTTATTTCTGTTTCACTTGAAAGAAATATTCTTATTTCACTTTTTAAAGCTGAATCAGAGCCTTTGCATTAATAATTAATGCAAAATCGTAAAACACCCATTGATTGTAATTATACTAGCTAGAGGAGAAATGCTATAAATAAATATTTCTTTTGAAGTTATGTCAAATGGCGATGCAATCTTTAGGTTTGTCCCATATGCAGATATGACCATAAAACTGAGAGTTTCCATCAACAAATTGATGATTTTGTTTATCACGTTTACCTCTACAGCTGCTTCATTCTTGATTATTGTTGATTCATTCAATAAAGTTAAAGTGAAGTTTGATTTTGATTAAATTAAATGGCTTGCTAAATTTTAACCTTCTCAAAGATCTGCTGAAGCTTTTAAATATGTCGATTTCTCATTTCGATGAGTTTGTTCATATATAAGTACATTAAATTGACTCAGTAGAGCCTAACATTTTAGTCTGTTTGTGTCAGTTTTTAGTAGTGGAATAAGGAAATAGTGCAGATCTCCCAATAAATGCTTAAGTTTTGTTTTAACTCAAAGGATCTTGTCAAGGAACTCATAAACAATTAAAATGCATACACGTGCTACATGTGTATTGCATTACTAGCTGTATTCTTCGTTAGCTTAGTGATTTGTAAAGATGCAATTTTAGGTTATATACTATTAGATTTATTTTAAGTGCAATGTGACGTTTAAGGTTGTTTTTTTGCTTCAATGCACAATGCGAAGCTGTGTTTTGCTCATGAATTTTATGTGTATACATATATTATGCGCGTATAATATTTTATTTTATGATAAAAGATCAAAATGGTCACTTGACTCTTATGAAAGACCAAAATGGCTCCAAATTATATAAAGAAGTATTTTGTTCCCTCAACTCTATAAAGAGAAATCAAAATAATTCTACTATTAAAAATTAATGGTAAAAATTAATGAATTAATGATTATGCCTGATGGTGGGAAGGTATATCTGGAATATATAGCAAATTCGTCCAACCTCAACAGAAAACGAGTAAAATGTCTTGGATGAGGATAAATTCACCATCTTAAAAAACCCTCCACAACAGCGGACGATCTCAGTTACTCTCGTTTATATATGAAAGTTTTTGTTGGAGATGAAAAAAGTTTAGTTACTTAGTAATTATATTTATTAAATAACTTAATTAAAAAATTTTCAAAACTAGAAATGAGCTGACTTGGTTAATCTGTCAATAATAACCCATATTGCATCTTTACTCTGCCTTGACCTGGGTAATCAATCACAAAATCCATCGCAATGTCCTCCCATTTCCACTCAGGTATTGGTAAAGGTTGTAGTTGACCACTTGACTTTTGATGTTCTGCCTTAATCATCTGACAAGGAATACATTTTGCTATAAATTCTGCAACACTCTTTAATCCTGGCCACCAAAACAATCCTCTAAGTTCCTGATACATCTTTGTACTGCCTGGGTGAATTTCATATGTTGAGAGATGAGCTTCCTGCAATATATCTTCTCTTAAGCTTTTAACATTTGGAATACAGATCCTGCCTTTATATTTTAATAATCCGTCTCCATCCATAGTAAAGTTCTCTAATTATCCTACTTGCACCTTCTTTATGATGACCTGAAATTTTTCATCCTGAGATAATGCATTGAGCACTCTATCTTTCAAAGTAGATTGGATTATCAGCTGATTTAACATCATATCTTTTGTCTCTTTCTGATTGACCACTGAAATTTCTAACTTTTTCATGTCTCTGATTTTCTGCTCCTGTTGGGTGATTAGCCAATTTGCATTTCCAAGTGTTTTTCTACTAAGTGTATCTGCAACCACATTTGCCTTTCTAGGATGGTACTGTATGTCCAAGTCATAATTCTTAATGAGCTCTAATCACCTTCTCTGTCTCAAATTAAGCTCTTTTTGATTGAAAATGTACTTGAGACTTTTATGATATGTAAACACTTCGCATCTTACCCCATACAGGTAATGTCTCCATATTTTGAGTGCAAAAACAACAACTGCCAATTCTAAATCATGAGTAGGGTAGTTCCTTTCATGAATTGTCAGTTGCCTTGAAGCATAGGCCACCTCTCTACCATGCTGCATCAATACACATCCAAGTCCTCTTAATGAAGCATCACAGAAAATTTGGAATCATTCTGAACCTGATGGAATTGTCAAAATCGGGGCAGTCATTAGGCAATTCTTTAACTTCTGGAAAGCTCCTTCGCACTGATCACTCCATTCAAATTTTAATGCTTTCTGAGTTAATCTGGATAACGACATAACAATCTAAGAAAACCCCTCTACAAATCTCCTGTAGTAACCAACAAATCCTAGAAAACTCCTCACTTCTGAAACTATCGTTGGCCTTGGCCAATCTGATATGGCTTGAATTTTATTCTGATCAACTAAAATTCCTTCACCACTAATTACATGCTCCAGAAAATTAACACTGCTCAGCCAAAATTCACACTTTGAAAATTTGTCATAGAACTTGTTCTCCTTTAATGTTTGCAATACTGCCTGCAGATGACTGGAATGGCTTTCTTCATTTCTTGAATAAATCAGAATGTCATCAATAAACACAATTACAAATATGTCCAGAAATGACTTAAAAACTCTGTTCATCAAATCCATAAATATAGCTGGTGCATTTGTCACCCCAAACGACATTACTACAAATTCAAAAATGGCCATATTTGGTTATGAAAGCTGTCTTTGCTATATCTTCCTTCTTAATCCGTAGCTGATGGTATCCATATCTCAAATCTATCTTGGAGAAAACTGTAGCTCCTTCCAGTTGATCAAAGAGATCATCAATTGTGGGCAATGGATATTTATTCTTAACAGTAAGCTTATTCAGTTCTCTGTAATCTATGTACATTCTGAAGCTTCCATCTTTTTTCTTTACAAACAGTACTTGAGCTCCCCATAGTGAGGAACTTGATCTGATGAACCCCTTATCGAGCAATTCCTGTAACTGACCTTTCAGCTCCTGTAACTCTTTGACTACCATCCTGTAAGGTGCTCTTGCCACTGGTTTTGAACCCGGTATCAATTCAATAGTGAAATCTATCTCTCTTTTTGGTGGTAATCCTGGCAAATCATTCAAAAACACCTCTGGATACTCTCTGATTACAGGTATATCTTTCAACTCTTTAACTTCTTTATTTGTATTCTTTACTTGAGTAAGAAAACACTGACATCGCTTGGATACAAATTTGTATGCTTTCAAATAAGTAATTATCATTGAAGAGATTCCTCTCTCACCATAAAACTTCAATTCTATTTCTCCAAGAATTTTAAACTTTACAATTTTCTTATTGCAATCAATAATCACAAAATGTCTTGATAACCAATCCATTCCCAATATCATATCAAATTCTTGTAATGATAAAACATTCATTGTGGCTTCAAACTTTCTTTCATTTATTTTAAAAGTCACTTTACATACATCATTTACATTCATAATCGATCCATTTGAAATTAGAACTTCTAAAATTACATTTGTCTCATAAACATTCAATCCAAATGTCTTAACAAATTCTTCTGAAATAAAAGAGTGTGAAGCTCCTATATAAAAAAGAATCCGTACAGACTTTCCTTGCATCATAATTATACCTATAAAATTACATAAGAAAGACATAAACATACATCATTCTTTTAATAATACTTTCATAATACATATTCATTTACTTCTCATTTTTATCACATGTAATTACTTTAGGTGAATCCTTAGCATCCTTCTGAGTCAATGCATATACTCTAGGCAGAGTATTCTGTCGGCTTTGACTTGATCCTGGAGTAGAAGCAGCTGATTCTACTGTTCTTGTCTTCCAACATTCCTCTGAGATCCAGTATTTATCTTTGACTCTTCTGCTGGTCTTTGCCCCAGAGTAGGACAGTTCTTAGCTATATGACCTGGTTGATGACACCAGAAGCAAGTATTTGTACCAGATAAACATTCTCCTTTATGTTGTCTTCCACACTTGCTGCAATTGTTCACACTGAACTGTCACTGCTGCTGAACTTTGTCTTTTTCCAATTAAATTTTCCACCTTGTGAAAAAGACTTGCTATGTGAATCCTGAGGGACTCCCATAACCTCACCACTTTTCCTCTTCTTAAAATCACGTCTCCTTTGAGTATTTTGCATGCCTGCTTCTATCTTTCTAGCTTTTTCCACTAGCACTATATAATCTTTAATTTCAAAAGGAACCAGGGGTTGCCTAATTACATCCTTCAGTCCAGATAAAAACTTATGACATTTTTCCTTAGCCGTTTGTATTAATTGGGGAGCATATTTGGACAGGGTGGTGAATTCAGCCTCATACTGCATCACTGATCTTTCTCCTTGTACTAATCTCATAAATTTATCCTGCATTTGCCTTCTCACTATAAGAGGCACGAATCAATCTCTGAATATCTGATTAAAGTCATCCCACTTGACTTGCATATTTTGGATTCCTCCAAATTTGCCTTGATATAAACATTTCCACCACCTTTCAGCTTCTCCTTCTAGTGCAAAGGTTGCCAAGGAAACTTTTCTCTCTTATGGACAATTCATACCTTCTAATATCTTTTCAATCTTCAACAACCAGTTTTCAGCCTCTATTGGTTCCTCTATTCCTTTGAATAATGGTGGTCTCATATCCTGAAATAATTTCAGAATTTATTCATAACCGTTCCACCACCACTATTACTCCCCGATGATTGATTTCTTTAATCTTGAATTAGCTAAGTCACAGCTATCATCATTTGAGCCAATGCATCAGGATTAACAGGAACATTTGGTGTTATTCTTTCCACTTCTTCCTCTTCTTCATATTCATTTTGATTCCTGTTATCAATAAGATATACATTTTACATTAAATTTTAAATTATTAATAATCATCCTAATGGCTCTTTCCAATACGATTCATATCTTA